TGGATATTGGCAGACGCTGAGGGCAATATCAATATTTATTGGACCCTTATTGACTAGGGTTGGCTCTGATTTTATCTAAGCCATCAAGAGCCCCATGTCACAGCCTGGGCTGGAGGAGAAGGTTACAAGGCTGCCCACTGATGGTGCTCTGAGCATTGACCAGAAGGAGGTCACTCTGGGGAGAGGCATGGTGCTGAGCACATGACACCCTCTACATCCGTTCTACCCTCAAGTTGTGACCTTGATTCTCCTCCAGTCCAGAGATGACATGCTACCACTGCAGCACCACTCCAGTACCCCGTGCCGTATACTCACTTCCCACTAGCAGCTCTCAAGATGCTCTTTCATACAGCTCTGTCTCCAGACACGGGAACTAAATGCAGGTGAAGGCTGGAACATCCGTTGCAACAATGTATATTGCCTTCCGTCAGTTCTACCCGGTGAGGTAAAAGCAGGTCCCTGGTGTTCTAACCCTCATGCAACAGGAGCAGGATGAAAATATCATGCACAGTACGATAGCCAGCTGTTGAAGAGTAGTAAAGGAGTACTTTGTGGGATCTGTTATTAATCTCCAAACTTTATTAATATGTATAATATGTCATGTCAATGATACAGACAACAGCCAGCAGGCCCTAGAATAGAAGCAAACATGAAAGCAGTGATGGCCTTCGAGCAGCAAGGTACTTCTCCTCACAAAGGGTCTGGAGTCCTCCTGGCCGGGAGGCAGATGGCGAGAAATCTGTTGCAGGTTTTCTTCTGTGATGCCAGGACAAAATTTGGTTGCCTTCTTGCATTTTGAATGCTACCTCTTTAAAAACTGATTCTTAAAGAAAATCGCCCATTTTAGCTCATCGTTTCCATCTTTTCAGGGTCAAAACCCAGGCTACCAGTGTTTCATTATTACAGCAATGGGGCTTCCCTGCTCTCTACAGGACCTGACCCTGCAGTGCCCACTGACTCAGTTATTATTAATTTATATTGTGGTAGCACCTAGAGGTTCCAGTCAAGAATTGGGGCCCTGTTGTGTTAGGTGCTGAAGAGCTGTATAACAAGAAGGCAGAGCTGACAGTCTAAAGATTGCAGGGTCAGCATCATAGCTTTGACTGCTACAACCCCTTTCCTCATGAGCAAGCCTTAGTCACGTGCCTCGTCTTGTTGACTTTCCTGGAACTACACAAGTAAGTGAGGGCTATGGGACCATGTCCTCGCTTCCGCTTACTGCAAGATATGAAGAAACATGGTGCAAAATGGAAGTTATTGCAGGCATCAACTGCAGCTTTGTGAAGGTGCAGCGAGCATGGAATATAATCTAATAATAATAATACATAGTTCTTATATAGCAATTTTCATCCATCTGTCCATCTCAGAGCACTCTGTTGGGTTAAGTACCATTACACCCATTTTGCAGATGGGGAAACTGAGGCACAGAGAGGTGACGTGACACGCCCAATGTCACCCAGCAGGTCAGTGGCAAAGGTGGGAACAGAATCCAGGTCTCTTGACTCCTAGGCCTCTGCTCTTGCCACTAAACCACACTGCCTCCCCTAGTACAGTACAATAAATAGAATAATAGAATATGGAGCAAATTCACTTTTAAGAAAATATACCAAATAAACACAACAGTCTCTTTTTAATCTCTCTTACACTTCTTATACTCTGTATGTGCATTTTTCTTTGGAAAAATGGATTAGAAAAGTTAATCTCTTTACTTTATAATAATAAATTAATAGACCATGAACAGCACAGCTTTGAGAAAGGTTATTACTAGGGGATTTTTCTGATTTGGCACCTAGTTTTTAAATATATACTGTAGGTAGATAGGTGTGTGTGTATGTGTGTGTGTATGTGTGTGTATATATATATATATATATATATATATATATATATATAATAAATAAA